ATGATATGTCACATTTACTTTTTGTTTAATATGATAAATACATGATATTATACATGTGCCTAAATGCTTTTTTTCTTTTGCAAAATTTATGTAATTTTTTTATTTTTGTAGTTTTATATTTTATTATTTATTTATGACATTAAAGGTTAACACATTTAACCCAAAAGTTGAACTACTTATTATTATTTTTTATATTTCATTTTTGGTCAGTTCTAAATTATGTATTTCAATTTCATCATCAATAAAAGTAATTAATGTTTATTATTTTTTTTTAATTTGATTAACAAAAATATCATAAATGTGTCTAACTTCTTCTATATTTTTTTTGTAAATTTTTATATTTATTTCTATTTTAAAAATTTTATTACCTAAATATGACTTCATTGACTGATCAATTTAATTCGGATGGTTGAATTTCTTAGCCACTACTTGGATAAAGAATTGTTTTGTTTTTTATTCAATTTTAAAATATATGGGTTTATATTGTTAAAATATTGACATAGATCTAATTAATCGCATTTATTAGTGAAAAATAACTTAAAAATATAGGATTTAATGAGAGAAAATGTGATTTAAAGACTAATGAGAATGGATTAAATGAGGTGGAAAATAATAATTAAAGTTACATTTTCAACCCTTATAATACTTAATAAATTGGATTAAATACAAAAATGTAGCCATTATAATATTAAAACTATAATAAAATGATTTTTATACCATTTATCAAAATAAAAAATAAAAATAATTTTAATCTAAAAAAATGGGCTTCCAGCAGAAAAGGGCAACTTTTTGCCCTGAATATCAATAAAAGATCATATTTTTATAAAATAACCAAAAGGCAAGGATACTGTTCACTGTCTTCCTCTTACTCTGCCTCTATGATTATTTTGAAAAACATCATCGAAGCTTCAAAAGTTTCAAACCTCTTATCTCTCTTATGAAGCTTCAAAGGTTTCATAAAGATCCAGGAAACTTCGAGTTCTCAAAAGTCCCACATCGGGTTTGAGGTCATCTCGAGCGGGTTTCGTTTGTCATGGCGTCGCGTGCCGAAGCTTCCTGATTCATAAAGATCTCGTGTGCTGAAACTTCATAATTCAGAAATTAAAAAACTCGGAGCTTCCTGGATCTAGAAACTAACTTGCATTCTTTACACCACTCGTACTGTAAGATTTGTTTTTCCTCTTCAGTCTTCCCCTCTACAACAACATCGAATCCAGGGAGAAACGAAAAGAGAGAGAAAACCTCAAACTCAATGTGATGCTCAGCTTCAAGAGAACGGTGTCACTGTAATTCCGGAATAGTAACCGTGAAGAAGAATGTGCCTGCCCTGCTCCGCCTCTCGCATGAACAGTGTATTCAGATGAATAAGAGTCAGACAATGAAGAGTATCATTGCCCTTTCTTGATATTTTTTAAAAAAATTACTTATTTTATAAAAATATTACTTTTTATTGATATTCAGGTAAAATTCCACATTACATTCACATACATAATAATTTTGAATATGTTACTATCATCCGTCTGATATTGGAGGCCCCATCTTCCGTCTGATCTACTAATATCAAAATCCATAGCTTGTCATTTAAAGTCTGATGGTTCGTTATGTCTCATCTCCCAAATAGAAAATCGTTGGTTTTACCGGTTCCGTGATCTCAACCGTCCCCTCCAACATCTTTGCCACCTTCCCCATAGACGGCCTCATCTCCGCCCGATCTTGGAGGCACCACATGGCAGTCTTCACCATCCGATCCATCATATCAAAATGCTGCCGGTTATCATAACAATGTATAATCCGACGGTCCAAAATATCCTCCACCCTCTTCTCCTGATACACCTTCTCAAATGCCCACCTCGGAAAATACCAGTCCTCACTGTCCAACGACGATCGCCGGAACTCGAAGTTCCTGGTACCGCTCACAATCTCCAACAACACCATCCCAAAGCTGTACAGGTCGGCCTTCGCCGTGATCGGATCGTTCTTCACCCACTCCGGTGCCAAGTAGCCGCGAGTCCCGCGGATGCGCGACATGGTTACCTTGTCTTCTTTCTTGGTTAGCTTCGCTAGCCCGAAGTCTGATACTTTGGGGCAGAAGTCATCTTCGAGGAGTATGTTCTCTGGTTTGATGTCACAGTGGATGACCCATTCGAGACACTCCTCGTGAAGGTAAGCGATAGCTCTAGCTACTCCTAGAGCGATTCTGTATCTAGTGTTCCAGTCCAGAATTGGTTGTTGCATGGATAGAATGTTTTGGGAGTTCGTCTCTTCGTTTTTCTCATTGGTAGTGCTCTTCTTCTCGTCTTCAGATTTTGCAAATGGAGCAACGGGGAAGAGGTATTTGGCGAGGGAGCCGTTTGGGATGTACTCGTATACCAACATCTTGTGTGTTTTCTGGGCGCAGAATCCCCACATTCGGACTAGGTTGAGGTGGTGCATTCGGGCGATGATTGTGACCTCCGCCCAGAATTCTGCCTCTCCACCGCCGATGCTTTTTAGGCGTTTCACGGCGATGACACGGTGGTCAGGGAGGACCCCTTTATAAACAATGCCGAAGCCACCATGCCCAATGACGTTGGAGAAGTCGAGTGGCGGCCTTGAGTTCGGCATAGGTGAACCGTTTAGGCCCGCCCAAGGGGAGGAGCTCCAGGCCTAGCGTGTGAGCCATGTCTCGGTATTTGATGTATTTCTTCACGAAAGCCCAGAAGAAGAGAGCTCCAGTGCTGAGCTCGATTACGAAGAGAGTGATGAGGATGGCGAGATTCTTAGGAGTGGTATTGGATTCATCATGTGGGCGAGGGAGGGTTAGGTTAGCGGAGCAAATTGTGTCGATCATGGTCGTCATGCCTGTGAAGTTGGACTTATCTGTCTCGGCCTTCGCTACACGGAGAAACATGGCGACCTCGCTCGCCGGAGACCAGTACCCATATAGGAGGCGATCGAGATGGTGTACACAGTACTGCTCTCCAGTGTACTTGTATTCAAAGCCCAAGCAATTGGGGTTGGCGAGACACTTGGACTCACAGGTTGTGAAATTTGGAGCTCGTAAATCAGTCTCGTTCGGTCCTCCACTGAAATTTACATAATCCAAACGGAGGAATTTACTGTCTTGTGGACTACTTGTGAACGGATTTTTCCTTTCACAAAATTCGCCGCTGCTCTTTCGGAATGTTTGGAATCCCGGTGGACAGACGCAGTAAGGTTTGTTCTGCTCACTTCCCATACAAATATAATTTGGGCCACAGGTGCCATGAATGGTACAAAATTCTTGTATCGCTTGCCAAACTATTGTCCACGTACCCTTTTTAGAATCCAGACTATAAACTCTGAGGTTTCCGTCGTCGTCGAGCGTTAACCGCCGTAGAAGGGGGGCGCCTTTGTCGGACGACAAAAATGGATTCGAGTTGTCCGCCATCTTCAAAGTACCATCATCATCCAGAGACAGAATCTTATTTATTGACTTGTACACACTTGGAGTGTTGTAACTGCCTATGAAGATCAAATCCTTTGCATTATCAAACATGTATCTCTTATTCTTTGAGATTAGTTGGGTGTTGTTCATGGGATGGCCGACGAGAAACGTATCACTCGGATGTTCGTAGCTATGCCAACTTCCATAAACCAAGCACCCAGCATCGCCATCGAGGAATAGATCGGAACCTTTGCTGCTAGTGACACCCTTGAACAGGTTCTGACCGGTGGAGCCGTTTAGTTGGAGACCACCGGAAGGTGAGATGACGAGAGAGGACGAGCGGTTAATGGGCGAGTTGTTTTCAAGTGACCATACAATGGTTTCGTTTTTGCTGTTTAGACACCAGATAGAAGATATATTGCTGTTCAGAGGTGGGTAATGACCGGAATCCGGCGGCAAACGTTGAGTTCGGAGAAACAAGAATCCGGTTCTCGGTAGGTGACCATGGTGAGTTGGAGGTGTTAAAGGCAGAGAATCTCTCTTCCGGTTGCTGTTGGGCTGTTGATGGCAAAGGATTGGAGAGGAAGAAGGAAAAGAAGAGGAAAACGAGGAGAGACATGACTGAAACGAGCTGAATATTGGCCTATTGGGTTAGTGCCAGAGAGAAGATCTCTGACATCTGAATAAATATGGACTGAGCAACTCTCTTCACGACTGCAGCTGCAAGATCGGCCATGGGGGAAGACGACTTAAGTCAACCTATACTTAATTAACGAAACATCGTGACCGTCAGATCAAGAGACTGGATGAATTGGGTGGTCATGTTAAGTCCATGGAACAAATGGTCGGTTGGGATTGTACAAAACTGTCATTACTTCAGCGACTTGTTGACTGGGCAACTTTTAGTCTTTCTAAAGTGAGGCACACAATATACTATCACAACTCACAATACGTGTATGGACCCCATACAGCTTTTTGTGAATGGCCAGGATCTCAGGTTCGCATGACGTCGTTAACCATTCGAGTACGAAAAGGGACAAAATAATATCTACTTTTATTGACCAAAACGTCCCTAACTAAAGCTACTCTTGTAATCGAGTGTTCATGGTACGTCAAACTGTCACAATCCAACGTGGGCGAAGGTTTTTGAGTGTTGACGTGTCAAAGAAGTATTAAGGAATGAATATTCACGGCCAGCTGGCCATTAGAAAATGAATTCTTCTATTTCCAAGAGGAATTGCCAGATATACGGGCTTGCTGATCAAACCATATGGCATACGGTTGCCTTGAAGACCGCAAATTTAGCATCTCATGTTGGGTCGAGGGTGTTGTCCGTTTTGTTCTTAGGTCTAAACATTTAGATCTAGGTCACATGATATATTGGTGTTCCAGCACATAGCTTATTGCAGAAGCATGAACTCACCTAGGTTCTGTTTGGATAATTCATATTTGTAGAACTGTTGACACAGCATATTGCTGTGTGAGCTCCATCCCGTTTCCGACGGACTAAGTTCTCATCGGCTGGTGTTCAACATCCTGGTGCATCAATCAGTTCTTGCAGAAATCAAGAAACTCTATTTTTAAGAAACCAAAGATGAGCACAAATTTGGATCCAAATTCCCCATACTATTTGCATCCTTCTGATAATCCTGAAGCCATTCTGGTTTCTTGTTCATTCACCGGAGGCAATTACTTCACTTGGCAACATGCGATGTGCATTGCTCTGAGAGCAAAAAACAAATACGGATTTGTGGATGGTTCGTTGCAAAGGCCGAGTCCGTCCATGGTAGAAGAGCAGGCATGGATCAAAGTTAATTCCATGGTGATTGCTTGGATCTTCAACTCTCTGGTTCATGAGCTTCATGAAAGTTTTGTATACACGGAATCGGCTAGAGATATGTGGAAAGAACTTGAGGAATACTTCTCTCAAGGGCAAGCTGCAAGAATCTATCAACTCAAATGAGATCTTTCCAACCTGAACCAGGGAGATCTTCCAATTGCCTCATATTTCACAAAGCTGAAAGGCCTTTGGGATGAACTAGGTAATTTATCACCCATTCCTAACTGTGAGTGTAGAAGCAATTATAGTGCGATCAAGGAAATGATGGTAGATCGAGAGAAAGACAGGCTGCACCAATTCTTGATGGGTCTAAATGATGTCTTCAATAATGTCAAATCCACAATTCTGGCTATAGAACCACTCCCTACCATAAACCGGGCCTATCCGCTCATAGTTCAAGACGAGAAACATCAAGTTCTGATGACTCAGAGAGCTATGTATCTTCCAAATGTTGTTGCTCTAATTGCCTCCAGATCTGGTGATCGAAATTCCAACCCTCGGACCAAAGTATGGTGCAAGCATTGTAAGCGCCAAGGCCACTCTAAGGATAGGTGCTACGAGCTGATTGGATATCCTGATGGATGGGAGAAGAGGAAGCCAAATCGTGGAACCAAAACAAAGGTTGATTCTGCTGGAGGTTCACAAGTTGTGGCTGCAGCAACCAGTGGACCTACCCAAGCCACGCCAACGTCCTTCACACTTGAACAATACAACCAACTCTTATGTTTAATGAATATGGACATGCAGTCTCTTTGTGCCTCAAATATGTCTAGTAAGGGTTTCTCCACCACAGTTGGCCCTTCTGATTGGATTCTTGATAGTGGGGCATATGATCATATGACCCCAATGAAGTATTTATTTCTTCATCATGAAACAATGCCTTTCCCTTTATCAATAAACTTGCTAGATGGTTCTGTTCTGTTTGCCACACATAAAGGCACGGTCATGATAATCCCAAGACTCCTTATTCATGATGTGTTATATGTTCCTGGTTTCGATACAACTTGCTTTCCATAAGTAAACTCACCACACAATTACACTACATTGCTGTGTTTTCTCCTATTTCATGTGCAACTCAGGACCCAATATCCATGACTGTGATTAGCAAAGGGGTATTGACCAATGGGATTTACTACCTTCAGCCTGCACATCCCTTTGTTGCTCTTTCAATCACTAATAAAGACAACTACAGTACTTGGCACAGAAGACTCAAACATGCATCATCAAAACAGTTATGCCATCTTTCTGTCCGCAGTATTACTTCACCAAAACATGCATGTGACGTATGTGAACGGGCCAAGCACACCCGCACTCCATTCCCAATAAGTGCGTCTCAAGCCTCTTCTCCATTTGATCTGATCCACTGTGATATTTGGGGTCCCTACCACACTCCAACACATGATGGTGCTCGTTACTTCCTATCCATTGTTGATGACTACAGCTGCACAACTTGGATTTTTCTTATGAAACACAAATTGGATACATACTCTCTCTTTGTTTCATTCTATATATGGTGCACATGCAATTCAATACACTTGTACGTGCAGTAAGATCTGATAATGGTAAAGAATTTCTATCAGGGCCTATGCAATCCTATTTCATGAATAATGGCATCATGCATCAACGTTCTTGTGTTGCCTCTTGTCAATAAAACAAGATTGTTGAGAGGAAACATAGACATCTACTTGAGGTGGCCAGATCATTGCGATTCCAAGCTTCGCTACCGATATCATTTTGGGGAGAATGCGTTCTGACTGCACCCTACATCATAAATTACCTTCCTGCAATCCCTTTACAAGGAAAAACACCCTACAAGATAATACTTGAGAAAATCCCTAGTCATGAGCATTTATGTACATTTGGGTGTCTATGCTATGCCCAAGAACGACCTCCCAACAAGGATAAATTTGCCCTACGTGCTTCCCGTTGTATATTCGTGGGTTACCCTTATGGTCAAAAGGGATACAAGGTGTACAACCTTGAAATTGGCAGGTTCTTTACATCTCGGGATGTGTCATTCTATAAGGATGTTTTCCCTTTTCAATAACAACAAACATCACCGTCAGACAGTAATCCGGGTGTTGCCACCCCTTTATCAGAAAATGATGATCCCTTCATTGATCCAGCAATCCATCACAATTCGATTAATGCTGGTCCTATCTCAAAGCCTGTTAGCACTTCTCTCACCGACATCAATTCAGGAGAGCTGCCCATAGATCCATTAATTGAAGGTTCAGAATACATATCCACCACAGAGCCATCCGAATCCAATCCCGTTCACAACACCCATGTTCAGCCCTCACGTCCTCACCGTGACAAACGACAGCCCACACACCTAAAGGATTACATTTGCAGCATTCCCACTTCCTTGACTACCCTGAATGCTACTGCTTCTCTACCCCCGAAACCAACCTCTTATTCTCAAGTCGTCAAGGATCCAAATTGGTGTAGAGCGATGGATGATGAAATTGCTGCTCCAGAATATATATATATATATATATATATATATATATATATATATATATATATATATATATATGAAAGAAGGGAGGTGAGGGTCCTCTCACCACAGAGCTCACATGTATCTCCCCACACATGTGCACGTTTATTTTTATATTAAATCAAAAACCTCATGGGTCTTTATTGTCTTTAATAAAATTCATATTTACTCTAATAAATCTCTTCATCCTTAATAGTCAATGTTTGTAACATTGATCCTCCCCATTAAATCCTTATTTTCCCCTCAAACATCCCTTAATCCTTTTTGGCTCTCTCTAATAAAGTAGCGTGTAAATTAGATGCGTTGGGTTAGATTAAGGATCAACCTAAATGTGAACTTTAGCTTGGGCCCAAGTTTTCCCACTAGTACATAGGTGAACCAATTTAAATAAAGCATTACTCCTTTCTTTGAGCTACCAGGTTTTTTCCTCTATTTTGCTCCTTTTCATGGGCTCAAGTTTTTTCCTATGTTATTATTAATTTAATTTAACGTAGATTTGTTTAATGGATTGTTCTAATCTCTCTCTCTCTCTCTCTCTCTCTCTCTATATATATATATATATATATATATATAACAAGGAAGTCTAGAATTTTTCTCCATTTTTTGAATTTTTTATTTTTTTAATTCCATGTCATTTTTTAAATAATCATTGAGATGCATTTTCCCAATAACCTAAATAATCTCTTCTCCTAAACTACCTCCCCCACTATCGACCACTTTCTCCTAAATTATCTCTAATTCCTATTTATCTTCTAAATTATCTCTAACTAATTTCTATTTAACCTCTCCCCCACTTTTTATCTATATCTATCTAAAGAAATTTTGGATTAAAAAATTTAACAATTATTTAAAAACTCTAACAAAATTATATAACAAATTTAAAATATTTATTAGAAACACAAAAAATAATTTTATATTTTAACAAAATATATCACGAAATTATGAACTAACAATTTAAATTCTATTTTTCTGGATTATCAATTTAAATGCTATTGAAATAATAAAAATTTAACAATAAAAAATAAAATCTTATTTAAATATTTCAGTAAATAAATATCCTAAATAAAAAAATATTATAAATATATAAATAATTATATAACAAAATATTTAGTAATATGTAATAGCTTTAAATAAATAAAAATAAAATAATAAAAAATTTAAATATTTTACATATTATTTAAATAATTAAATAACTAAATATTTAACATAACTAGATATTAAAAGTTTAAATAACTAAAATATGTAATAAATTTAAAAAATTTCTTAAAAGTAGAAAAGAAATTATAAAATAATATTGAAATTAATAATAATTTAATATCTTACAAAATTAAAAATAAAATTATGTATTAATAGAAAAAAGTATAATTTTATGGATTATTAAATTCAGTAAATAAAAATTTAAATATTTTATATATTATTTAAATATTTAAATAACTATATTTTAAATAGTTAAAATAACGAAATTATGTAATAAATTTAAAAAATTTCTTAAAGGTAGAAAAATAATTATAACATAATATTTAAGTTATTAATTATTTAATATATTACAAAATTAATAATGCACTTATGTAATAATAGTATAAATTATAATTTTATGGATTATTAAATTCAATAAATAATTAATATTTTAAAATTTAAATATTTTACATATTATTTAATTATTTAAATAAAAAATATTTAACATAACTAGATTTTAAATTAGTTAAAATAAGGAAGTTATGTAATAAATTTAAAAAAATATATCTTAAAAGTAGAAAAACAATTATAACATAATATTTAAATTAATAATAATCTAATATTTTACAAAATTAATAATGAAATAACTTTAATAATAATTTAAAATTTTTACATAATATTGGAAATAACTAATTCCACTTATACCAATTAATAATTCAGGGAAATAACTTTCATAAAAATTAATATTTATTAGTAATAATTTTAAACTCTTAATATATATTTATTATATAAATATATACTAATATTAATATTTATTGTACTTCAGTAATTATTTATTGTTTTTTTGATAAATGCATTTTAATAATTATGTATAAATTTATTTTTGTTTTGTTATTTAATAGAAAACTTTCAATAATTATTAGAGATTAAACTGCTATTATTGAATTTTTTTTTTTAATTTTGTTTATTGTACTTATTGTATTTTAATTTGTTATAACTTATTGATTAATATTTATTAAAGATTAAACTATTATTTAATATTATACTATTTATTTACTAATTTAATATATTTTAGTACTTATTGTATTTTTCATTATCAATATATTTTTAACAATTGAGTATTTTTGCTATAAATTTTCAATAATTATTGGAGATTAAACTATTGTTATTTCTCATAGATGAGAATATTAAATTGACTGTGCATTTGTAAAAATCGGCTCCCTCAAGTTGTATCGGTTTTTGTCAATCGGTTCAAAAGATTTAAACTTAAAAATTTAAATTTAAGTCTTAAAAATTACAATGCAAATGTTAAAAAATAATTTTTAAAATTAAATTTTTGATATAAAACATATTAGACTAAGAAATATGGGAAATTTCCCACTTTTCCATATTAAAAATTATATTTAAAATATAAAATATTAATATATATCAATGGTCAAGTCATTTGGTTTTGGTCGATTTACAAATGGACAAAGCAAAACTAATCCAACTTGGTCAAGTTGGGAAATTGTTGAACCAAACCCGACCTAAAATACTAGAAAACCAACCAACTCAGGTTGAGTTAATCGGGTTGGTTGGTTTCATCAAGTTGATGAACAAACCTAACTGAAATTAATTATTGTTATTTTTGTATTATAAAAAATTTATTAAAAGTAGTATATAAAATATTAATAATTTTTAATTATTTTAAAAGTTGAAAATATAAAACAATTGTGTACTCTTATGTGTTTTTATTAGGGTCATTTACTAGAACAGACCTTATAGTTTTACATATTTACTTAAACCTACCTTATAATTTTTATTTTACTAAAATATCCAATATATTTTGCAACTTATTTTTTTAATCAACCTTTCATTGAGGAGTGTTTGTTTTTCCATTAGGCCCATGATTTTTTATTCCAAAAATACTCTTAATGCTTTTTTGTATAGAAAACAAAATTGACCAATATATTTTTATTTTTATTTTCTTTTGATTAAATTTATTTAAATGAACATTATGGTCGACACTGTCATTTTCCACTATCTAATGGAAGATTGATTAAATCCATTGCAAATTATAAGTGGTGTTTTAGTAAAATACAATCTATAGGGTAGATTTTAGTAAATTCATGAAACTATAGGGGATGTTTAAATAAATGACTCTTTCTATTAGCTTTCACTAAACAAATACTATGCATCGCATGGGTCCCCACTAGTTCAGTAGTAAAATGTAGTAAGAAGTAAATGTGAGTATTTGTTTATTTTCATTAGTTCAATTTTGAAATTACTTTTTTTTTTAACTTGGTAATTAATCTCATGCTAAGCACATTTTTGGCTTTATAGGGCTACACAATGGGAGGTA